CTATATGTTGAAAGCTTGTAATACATGATTATACAATTTTCATGGTACAAGACTAATTGCACCACTTTTTACTTCACAGCTGAACAATACTATATGTTGAAAGCTTGTAATACATGATTATACAATTTTCATGGTACAAGACTAATTGCACCACTTTTTATTTCACAGCTGAACAATACTATATGTTGAAAGCTTGTAATACATGATTATACAATTTTCATGGTACAAGACTAATTGTACTACTTTTTATTTCACAGCTGAACAATACTATACTTTTGTTGTTTTGTGGCTTACATTTCTTAATGTACGAGATGTTTACTTACAGATTCCGCCATTGATAAGTTATATATAAATATCATATTTAATTATATTTTAAAGTTTTTAACATCTATAATACACAGCTTGAATCATTTAAGACATTTTGATTTTTCATTGTTGGTTTAAACTAACTATGGCTTTTTCTTTCAAGTCTAGCAAACTGGTCACCAGAACTTGAACATTCAGAAGCTTATAGGAATCTAGAAAAGGCCTTTGAAGTGTGGACCAAACCAGTCCCATACTTACGTTTTAAATATTTAAGAAGTATGAGTGCTGACATTATAGTTGCTTTTGGACAAGGTTCTCATGGGGATGGATATCCTTTTGATGGACCTGGAAGTATACTGGCTCATGCCTTCTTTCCATATGAACATGGCCACTATGGTGGAGACATTCATTTTGATGATGATGAGTTTTGGGTAGATGAATCCAAGGGAAAGCAAGATGGTGGTAAGTGTTGAAAAGATGTTTGTTTGTTTTAGCACAAAGCTACACAATAGTCTATATATATGCTCTGTTCACCATGGGGAATCAAACCCCGAGTTTTTGCATTGTAAGTCTGTAAACCTACCGTTGACTCACTGAGGATTGTGTTAAGGGGACCTTAAAAGCTGAACTTTCAGGTTTTTGTTCAACTAGTCATTAATAACGTCATCTAAAATGTATATGGAAACTCATTTTTATCAAGAACATTGTTAATGTTATTAGATTATTTTCCTAAAATAATAAAGGTACTGTTTTATCTTGTATACTCCATGTACTAAAATCTTAATTAGATTTTATATAACTCAGGAATGAAGGTATTAAATTTAAAGATTTCTCATGATATGTTTCACATTTTCAGTTTGTTGAAGAAATACAAAACTTAAGTCGTACTTATGTTTGTACGTATTTGCATAATACTGTATATTGCTTGGAAAGAAAACTTTTATCATTCAGCTATATGTACTTCTCACCAAATAATATGAAGGAAAAACCAGAACACTGCGCTTAGCTTTAAAAAACACAACAACCATGGACGTGATGGTTTTTCCATATTTAAATTTTCTCAAAATAGTTAGCTCCTGAAAATTAGTCTGGCTAAAAGTCGTTTCGTTATGCGGAAAAATGACGCCTTTAGCTCGTATAGGTTCATATTTTACTGTCATAACTCTTAATCAGTCGTCTATATTATACGATCTTGAAATAACATCCAAAATCTCGAGATCCTGTGTCTTGCAGTTGAGTAGGAACAGGCTCAACTCCACTTCCAATATTAGTAAATATTGCAACCAATTTGTGTGTGTGTGTTGAACCACAAAACCACGCAATGGGCTATCTGCGTTGTGGTCACTACAGGTTGTGAAATCCGATTTTTAGCATGCAGGTCCTCAGAGCTTATCACTGTTCCAGTTGTGTGTGTGTGTGGTGGGGTGGGGGGGGTGACGACCAATTTTTGTGTTTCAGAGAAAGAGAGAGAGGCTGATTGCGTGGTGCCTCTGAAGTTGCTTTAAAACCACAATTTAGATGATGTACAAGAAGCCATCCTGCTCGTTGACCACCAGTTTTCATAATGTTAAACGTCTTCCTTAATTATATGTTCAAGATAACGCAAACCTTCTTTACTATTTCAGTGCTCTTTGTCTTCTGTTGATGTACTGATGATTAAAAAATTATCGTGTGCGCACTTCTTCTGTTTGTAGGATTCCTCTGATTGATTTCTTTCTTTTCTTTTCATTGCACCAGACTCCTGTTTTCGTAATTCTAAATTCACGTTTTAAATAAATACTCATATAAATAGTTATGAAGTTAATTATTTATTAATTTAATATTTTTTTATTCCTTTTTGTCAAATTTTTTATCCGTTTGAATCCTTAGCATAGCTAATTCTCTTCTTGTTTTTATATCTGTTCCTCGTATGCTTTATTTGTAGCAGCTAGATGTACATCGTTCCCGGTAGGTTAGCGATAAGTTTACGGACTTGCAACGCTAAATCCCGGGTTTGACTCCCAGTGGTATACAAAGCGCTGATAGACAAATATGTAGCTTTGTGCTAAAACAAAGAGATATGTATCAAGTGGCATTGAAACTTGGTACAATAGTCGATAATTATCACTGTCAGTTGAGAACGGGGTTAATTTTTTGTCATGTACACTTTACTTTATCTACTTTCCGTCAGTCTTGTCTTAATAATACAATTAATTCTCTTACAATTTTTACTATTAAGATAATAAACACCTTACATCAATTAACAAAATAAACTTAACGATAATAGTTGTATTTTCTATTTATGACTCATTTGTTTATTTAGGTCTTGACTTCTTTACGGTAGCAACACATGAAATAGGACACAGCCTGGGTCTAGCACATTCCACTGTACCCAACTCGGTAATGTTTCCATACTACAAAGGTTACGACCCTTCCTTTACATTAGGCTACGATGACGTAGTAGGCATGTATGAATTATACGGTAAGTACTGTTTGACATAACTAATATTTGTTAGATACTTTCATGATTCTCTTATGACAGGGCCAGTGTGCCTGGTCTGTCAATCCCAGGTTTCACGGTTTGCGGCCATTGCTGCATTTTGGAGCTGTAAGATCACTATAGAGTGTCAGTCAAGTCCCACTACTCGGTCAAACAGGTGTAACCCAAGAGCTGGATGTGGGTATATTTGACTAAATGCCTTCCCTCTAGGTTATCAATTCACGATTATTGATGGCTATGTACAGATAACACTTGTGTAACTTTGCGCGAAAAATATGAAACAGAAACTAGTATGATATTTCTGCGGTCAGAAAAACGAAAATAGCTGAAATGGATACGTAGTTTTAAATAAAAAACTAAAGTTGAATTTTTTCACAAATTCAGATATTACTTTACAGATGCAAACACACATTTTGAGGACGAGGAATACGAGAGTTTTTTTAACCAGACGGATGATGAAAGAACTACTACTTCCAAAACGGATGAAACTACTAGAAATCCTAGTGCAGACGACGACATTTTTAGTGATCGAGTGGGTAGGGATAATGAAACTGGACAAAAAAATGATGATGGTAAAACTGATGAAAACGTAGAAGATGATCACTACAAGATAAGTTCAGATGATGATCGGACGAACCCACCTCCCAAACGTACTGACCAAAATGATGAGGAATATTCGACTGACGACAATGGAAAACAAACAACAAGTGAAAGTTATTTCCCTGAACTTATTCCTGAAAACGATGGCGTAGTCAATGCAACTGAAGTTGGTGATGATGAAAAAAGTCACAGCTCAAATGAAACTTTAGATAAAAAGAAGGCGAAGTATGAACCAAATGCTTGTAATGGCTTTTTTGATGCTGCTGGTAATGTTAGGAATGAAATCTTTATTTTCAAAGGCTTGGTAAGTCAATAATACTAATGTTACGTAATACACTATATATATATATATATATACATAAACTAAGTAAATACAAATTATAGAAAGACTAAAGTTTAGTTTGTTTGTTCTTTGTAATTTCGCACAAAGCTACACTAGGGCTATCTGCGCTAGCCGTCCCT